TCATAATGAAGAGTCACTTTACCCGGGGATACAAAAAATGTTTTCAAGAGTTCTTCGTCCGAAAGCGCATAGATTTCTGAACTCATATTAAGCACTCTTCCCACCACTGGTGGAGATCTACGGAATCCAAGCATTCTGTGGCAATAGAGACAAAAAATGTCCAAAATATTAGTCAAACACACAATTGATGAAAGAATGTCTGAAAAAAGTATTATATGTTATATGATGGGAGAAAATAGTGGACACAAACCGATCCAAATGAAAGGACGCGATCTCACTGTTGTGTCGCTCGTAATCAGTGAAGTAAAAGTGATTGGGATCTGTCTCGCGATCTCTTGGAAACCTAGTTTTCAGTTCAATTGTATTATTAGATTAGTTTGATAACCGGTCAACCAGAATATTATAATTATAAATATTTTCATATTCTGTATATTTATTTCTATTAGCCATTACTGGTAGATATAGTGTTGAAACTCAAGTTATATGTCGTAGAAAATGATTTAACTAAATAATGTATGAGAATACACTGTAAATAATGAGATTAATTCAATGTTTGGCTAATTTTCATAATAATAATATTTCAAATGTAAATTCCTTTCTTTAATAAGTGCCTGAAAAACAAATTTAAGCTCAAAATTGAAGTTTTAATTGAATCCAGAATTTGAATAATTTGTTTGCTTAAAGAATTGACAAATGAATGCATTAATATTGTATATATATATGAATAAATTTGGGCATTTATTTATTGTAAATGAATAGAAAAATGCATGAATTTTAGCCGAAACACAAACTAGTGATTAATGTGTATTTGATTTGATAGAGTGAAGCAATTTTTGTGAACAAATTATTCACTGAACCGTATGAATGAGTTTCTCTTAATTTGATTCTTGATATTTGAATTTATCGTAAGATTTCAATTCTTTATCGTATTTTCTGTTATACTTTATATAAACCGTAAATTCTTTATACCTAAATAAATAGTTTACTTCAAAATTCTTTAAATATTCTCTTAAGTAATATAATTTCATAAGGATTAAAATATTTATACCTCTTAATTGAGTTCAATTAAAAACAAATTTTCTTAACAAAATCTATTAAGAAAGTTTAGGTGATAACATTAATTTCATATCACGTTAACATTAAATCTCTTTGTTGATCAACACAACGATTTAAATCTAATATCAATAAAGACTAAATTGCGACAAAATCTAAAATAAAGATTATTATCTAAATAATAATAAACACCAAAAGCCTCATTTAATTCACTTAATAATAATTATAGACTTAAAAGCTTATGACTAACCGATCAATAGATGTATTATAAGTGTTATAATAATTTTCGGCTTATCTGGCGATACATCAAAAACATGTTCATTCACTTGACTTTCAAAAACGACTTAAGAAAAGTGTGAATTATTATCAGATTATTATTCTTTAGCATTAAAAAGTGATTTCACTTTTAACGGACTATAAATTATAAGGAATTTTTGCAATATTTTCATAAAATTGTATAAAAAGGGCAAAAATTCTATGAAAGGGCAGAGTATTATAGTTTTGATATAAAATGCTATAAATATAATACATATTCTTTATAAAACATGTTTATATTTTTATTTACTGACGTCTCTGTCAGAGATTAACGCAAAACTCGTGTACTTGTTTGATTTTATAGTTTATATTTATTTACATTTGAAAAATCAGTGAATTTAATATAATATTGCCATAAATCCTGATTTATCAATCGCTTGCCAACAAAATATGACTACTTTTTCTATATTGTTGTTGTAGTGATAAACTATTTTTACGACAGTTTTTCAATTGTAATGTCAGTACCTCATGGGCTTGAATAAGGCCTGACCCCCGTTCTCGTAATCGATAACCAGTTTCAGTTGAGTTCCGCCGTCTTTTTGAGCTATTCATCCAATATATTCACAAAACAATTCATTAGTTTTAAACCAATAAGTTATAAACCAATCCTTGGTCTCTCTCTCTCTCTCTCTCTCTCTCTCTCTCTCTCTCTCGTGTATAAAATATGATTGAAAACAATAACCACTCACTAATGTGAACGATATCCATGTTTGCCATATCGTCTAATAAAGACCCGATATTAGTGGTGTTCTCGTTGTATAACTCGTTTTGTTGGACAGACAACTGAAACACTTCCCAAGCCGTCAGGTTTTTTCTAATTATTTCAAATCAATGCTAAAAGTGAGTTTTCATATTCAATGTAAACTATTACTATAACAAAAGTAATCAATAACTTAATTATAAACATTGTTTGAAAATTAAATTTTAATAACATTGAGAACGACTTTTATATAAAAGCGATTAACTAGCAAATTGGTTGTCATATAAAGTCATTGCAAACAAGTGTCTCAATCGATACAGTGATAGAGTACAGAATAGTAGCCATGAATTTAGTTTCAGTGAAAATAAAGTCAAATTCATTATTAATGCCTTAAACGCATTAATACCTAACATTGTATTTGCCTTTATTTAATTTAATGCTCTAGTAATTAAATTTAAACTTACTTTTTAAGTCTACTATAAATTGAATTCACACTAATTTTCGTGGATTTTGTTTTTTATGCTTAAGACTAACATTCAATTAACTATAAGTCTATATAATCGTATAGTGACTTTACATGACTTGATAAAACAGTATTGAATTTCGTAATATTTATCTTGGAAAAACTTTTACTTTAATATTCGCAAACCATTAACAGTAATCTTAGATATGTTCTTAATGTATATATTTATACATTAATTTTGCACATATATATATATATATATTGTGCACAATTTTAAAGGCTTTGCAAAAATCATAAAACTTTATTAGCAAAGAGTGTTAAGAAAAATGAAACTCAAACTAAATATTTAATATACGAAATGAATTTCTTGCGCTTTTAAAATTAAAAGCCATTAACACACAGAATATACAGTAAATTACATTTTAAACATGTATTCACTAAAAATAAAATTAATTCAAACCTCATCTCAAATATATAGTGTGTTTGCAATACATTCAGTCTGTATTGCATTCCTATCGCCTATTGTTTGTCTGAGATTTTCCACTCCATAGCAAATGCGGGCAATAATTATTAGACTTAATATTTATTTATTTACGTGTGTTTAATGATAAAAGATTTCATTTTAATTAAATATGTTGTGCTTAACGCACACAACAATTATTTGTGTGGGATTTGAATGCAATGGAAACTCCAGATTCACATTTATTTATAGAGACATGATTTTGAGCCAATTTTATCTCTACTAAA